TTTTTTTAATACCGAAACTTTGCTTTTTGCGCCAAATTGTTGTATGGGAGGGAGAAAGGTAAAAGGGACCTACAGATCGTAAAAAATAGCCTTTTTAGTATTTTACTTCAAAGATGGCGCATTGCCGGAAAAAAATTACAATTCAAAGTCGCTTTTCTCGGAAATTAATTTTCGAACAAAAATTTCTAAGGTTTGTGTCGTTTGGCTGTTAGCTTTCGCCGCAAAATTATGGACTGTGCAAATATCATTTTTTTGATTCGGAACTTCTCAAGTGGAGGATACAAAGTGATATTGTAACTTGATAAAAAAAAACAATAATAATTATGTATAATAAAATATGGATATTTATACATATGAAAGAGCATTGGCAATAAGACGGCATTACGAAAGTAACGACTTAGCCATAAATTGATCAATGTAAGGAATATAACTTATTTTACAAAAAACACAATCATTATTATATGTACATAAATATCATTAAAATATAATTCAAATTAGTTTTTAATAGTACGATACGTAATATAAAATTTTTAAAACATACATATGTATGTATACACGTACATATGTGTGTAGTTTTAAACTAGTTTTGAAAAGTATATTTTCAAAATTTCCAAACGAAAAGTTTAAGATTCAACTGCAATTCTCAATCGACGAGAAAGCATTATTATCTGTTTAGCACTTAAAAGTAGTAAGTAGTACATACTTACTTAATAAACTCAATGATCTACATTATAAGTTTATTTTCTTCTTAAATACATACACATGTAAATAAAAAGACAAGCATATTGGAAATCGACTTAAGTGCTTGTGTTTACATTCGCTTTACATTTTGATTTTTTTTTGATTATTTTGGCACATCGAGGATACAGTACAGTACATTATTATGCATTGGGAATTAATTGTTCAACTTTCATCAATTAAAAAAAACCAAAAATTAATTTACAAAATTGCAATGAACTACATATACACAAAACACACGCATATAAATATAGATATTTGCATGCCCGTTATTTACACAGCTGTAAGCCAATAGAATTGCTAATGCAGTTACTTAGTGATTTGAGTAGCAGAGTATTCGAAAGCGGCTACCAACTTAGAACATACATACATATTTAATAATAAGAATGATTCCCTACAAGACAGCTGAGTATCATATGAGTACTCATATTATCATTACTCCTAATCACAAAAGTGCT